ATAATAGATTTTTTCTAAAATTTGTTTTAACAAATCCAAATATTATAATATATATAATAATCAATTTGAAATTCTTTTAATCCATGGTTTTCAAAATCGTTTGAGGTGTACACCTCGAGGCGAGGCGGTCCAAAACAGCTCATGAGGTGGCGCCTCATGGTCCCTGGACAAGGCTTAAGCCTCAATTGATGAGGCGGTGCCTTGAGGTGTCGAGGCGTGAGGTGTTTCTGAGGCGCACGCCTCTCCAAACAATATTTTTTCTTCTCCATTTCTTACTTTTTCTTCTCTCAAGAAGATATTCATCTCAAAGGCCAAACCCAAAAAGTAAGTTTCTTTTTAGTTTGTGTCCATATTTTTAGTTTATGTATAATGTATTATATTATATTATATATATTTCAGTCAAGTATATATGTTCTATACCATGTATAATGTATTTTCTATATGTATAATGTGTTGTATGTCTTTTTTGTATATTTTCTGTTTTTATGTATTATTTTTATTTTCTGTTTTCTGTATTATTTTTTTATTTTCTGTGGATTTGGAAGATGAAAGTGATAGTGATTATGGATACGAAAATGATTGTGGAGCTATACAACTTGATCTTGCTACGGGGAACTATAAGTTGTAGATTGATATGTTTTTAGACGTATAAGTTGTAGATTGATATGTTTTTAGACGTATAACTTGTATTTTATGAATCTATGACGTTTAAAGTTTGGTACGGGATTATGTTTTGCTTACTATTAATATTTATGAATTTTATTTGAATTACGCCTCAGGGCGTGGAAGGAAAACGCCTCGAGTCCGGTTCCGCTTTTTAAAACCTTGTTTTAATCAATATATTATATTTTTTAATCGTTTTACGATCTTGTTTGTATTAGTTAATATATTATATTATTAGAGATTTGTTTTAATTATATATTGAAATATTATAATTGATTAATTTTTCAAGATATCCTTTTTGGTCATTTTACGTTCTTATCAGCTAGTTTTTGCCATACATGACTTGTTTCTCAGCTAGCTTATCAGCCAGTAACTGGCTTATCAACTAGTTTGCCAAACATAGCCTAAGGGTAGATAGGGTAGGCGCTTTCATAAGCTATCCAACAAGGCTAGAGAAAGAGAGGGGGAGGTGGAGGGAGTAGGGATCATCAAAGGCCATGCGATCTTTGTTTCTGTCCTGAAATAGCATAGGGAGGTGAAGGGGGCTCTAAGCAACATGGGGAAAGGCAAGGCCATAGGCCCATACCAGATCCCCATTGATGTGTATTTTTGTCTGGGGGAAGAGGGGGCTTCGCATTTGACAAAGCTCTTTAACATAAAACTCCTGACTTCCAAGATGCATGAAAAGTGGAGGCTTAGTGTGTTGTGGCACTTTATAAGAACAAAGGTGATGTACAACAGTGTGGTAACTATCGTTGTATAAAGCTACTTAGCCACATTATGAAATTATGGGAGCGAGTGATTGAGGCCAGGGTGCAGCACAAAAAAGGGGTTCTCTTAACATGATTAGATGGACTTTAACGAGTGCACAAGCAGAAGTGGAGACAGAGTCACAAGACGGAGGTGAAGGAGAACCAACTTCGCTTCATGCCAGGGGGTCGACAATTGAGGCAATCTGCCTTTTTAGGCGACTCATGGAGAAGTATAACAAGCATAATAAGGGCTTACACGTTGTGTTCTTCGAATTGGAGAAAGCCCATGATAAGTTTCCACGGGATGTGATTTGAAACAACTTGGAGAAGAAGGGGATCCCATGGAGATATGTCAAGGTGATTCAGGATGTGTATGGAAGGACGAGGACTTGTGTTAGGACCTGGTGGGTGAAACGGAGTATTTACCAACGGAGATTGAACTACACCAAGGATCTTCACCAAGTCCTTTTTTGTTTATTATAATCTTGAATGTCATCCTGAATTTTGCACCAATTGTGAACCATGGCATAAGGGATTAATAATGATATTTTTAGAAGTGTAGTAGTTGAGTGACCGGATAATGACAAGTATAATATGAATTGAATCCAACGTAAAAGTGCCAACCATGTTTATGACATAAGGGAGGTACTAATGTCTCGTATTAACTGGTGGGTTCTTTAATAATGATCGTATTTTATTCTCATGAAATGACCAAGTTAAAACCTTTTTCATTTTGCAGTGAATGCACTCACCATATTTGCCTATATCTGATAGACGTTTCAATGATTAAGGGAACAATCTACATTTAGATTTACAAGTGTGAGTTGGCAGAGAAATATGCACATGATCTTATACATGGAAAAGATCAGTTTAGTATAATGACAAGGTGGCAATTTTATTAGTTTAAAATACGATTAGGAAGTTTTGGATGCGAGAAAAATGAAAGCATGTTTTTGTGATAAATTCTAGTGTTTGGAACAAATCCAAACAATGTCCCGTAATTTTTTTGGACCGAGTTGTATGTTCAAGAGAGGGAGATAAAAGCGGCCCAAGAAGTTGCTGATCCGGTCATTCCAAGCTGATTCTTTTAATCGGCCCATTATCAATTTCAACATTCAATCTACATAACCATCTCTTTGTATAAAATCCCTAGGGTTTTCTCAAAGAGGCACCCCTTCCCTATTTCTTCATCTAAATTCACCCTTCACCCTTCACCCTTCAATTCTTGATTAAGGAGAAAAAGGTGCTACAAATTACTGCAAACCTTTTCAACTCGTGGAATTGTGAAGATGGATCACGACATGGACATGGATATGGAAACGAGAGAGGATGAATCAAGGGAGCAGATCAATGAAGAAACTGAAGTTGAGATAGACGAGTCAGAGGAGGCGATAGTTGAGAGGTTGACCAATGATGACTATGAATTTTGGAAGAGTACCACTCCGTTTTTATACAATTTGGTTGCATCTCATAAAACTGAGTGGCCTTCACTCACTGTCGAGTGGCTTCCAGATCGGGTAGAACCATATGACCGGGACTACTTGGTCCAAAGTATGGTCCTCGGAACCCATACTGCAGATAATAGACCTAATTACCTTATGCTTGCACGAGTGATACTCCCTCTATTTAATGATCGCTCAAATGAAGTAGAGTTTGGTTCGGGCAGCAAGGTTTGAGATCTCTACCATAAATACATCTCTATTTCAAATATGCATTTATGTTTGTGAAACCGATGTGCTAATTGATGTTTTTGAGAAGAAAATAAATGATCTCTAAACATCATGAAATATCCTAAACATTCCTATGGTTTTAGTTTGGGATTTTCTTTAATCTTCCTTCTCCATAAGTAACTGAATCTAATATCTTCAATACTTCTCTCTTGCACCTTAAATCATCATTGGTAAGTTGATGATGCCTTACACTTCAGGAGAAAAGACCATTGAGTATTTGTTAGTTGACCATCTCAGATGTCAATCATCAACAAGGGTTATCTTAATATATGAACAGTCCTCGTAAATGGATCCAGAATTCACAACTGTGAATTGTGAATTGCACATCGTATTGTGATATCTGATGGTTTCTTTCTAATCGGTGTGATATAATGATTATTAATGAGCTAGAGCAGCAAGAAAAATATTTTACTGAACAATGAATGTCATAGTGTATCTACTAAGGTAAAACTAATTTGTATCATGAGAAGCTACTAGTAATGTCCTCGTTAAGCGTTCTTTCTTCTATGGTCACTGTTGAACTCTTTCATTAGCCTTCTGCCTTTTTTGAAGATGCATCATTTAACTTTCACCGTCATAATAAATTAAGTTGCCTTCCATTTGAATCTCTGCTCCTCATTGGTTTTATCGTCTTGAATTATGGAAAATTCGTCAAATGAAGTGGAAAGGGGCACTTTTAAGCAAGACGAATAGATTGAGGACTCCTATGAAGTATAATTACGTTGATTTGGAAATCTGAGAGTTCACATGTACATGTTTTCATGTTTTATCGTCTTGGTGTTGTATTGTAGGACATCAGGGTTGGGTGATTTTGACATCTTTGCTTATATTCCATATATTTTCATAAGGAAGAGATTTGTGAACATAGTGACAAATACAGCATCACAAAACATGAGAATGCATTTAGTTGACAGTGGCATGGAGGATGTGATTATCTTGTATAAGTTTGTTCGATTGATTTCTTGTTCACTATATAATCTTCAGCTTTCCTAACGATTTTTCTACCTTTTTTGCTTAATGCTTAGAAGCATTTGCTTGTGTACATTTGTAGCAGAAAATTGTTGAAGCATACAGGGGCTGCATGCGTCATCTGCAGTTCATGATAGTTTTTCATCGTACGATTACAAATATATTATAGGTTTTCAAGTTTAGAGCTAATTTATTTTTTATTACTTGATCCTGATCACAAGAGAGATGATGCACTTTTTTCTGTATGGTTTGAGCTTGCAAACTGTGTATGGCACTTTTCTGTAGCAATGTGAGCATAATTGCCTTCATCATGTCTTTGCTATGCCTTGCAGGTAGAAATAGTACAACAAATCACTCATGATGGAGAGGTGAACAGGGCTCGTTATATGCCTCAAAACTATTTCATTATTGCCACCAAGACAATCAGTTCCGAAGTCCATCTGTTTGATTATAGGAATCATCCATATAAGCCTCATCTTGATGGAACGTCCAGTCCAGATTTGAGATTGAGGGGCCACAGCGAGGAGGGATTTGGCTTATCATGGAGTAACTTCAGACAGGGTCTTTTATTGAGTGGCTCTCGTGATGCCAACATCTGCTTGTGGGACATTAATGGGACCCCAAAGAATAAAGCTCTGGATGCTATGCAAATATATAAGGTACATTTACTGGTGGAGATTTTTTATATGAGGAAAGTAGCCAAAACATGTCATACTGATAGATGCTTAACTCTTAACAACCAACTCCATGGATACCAAGAATCTGTATATACAGATTTTCACTAGCATATTAATAGCAACTGTGCACTTGCTGCCTTAAAGTACATATAGATGGACTCAAACTATGTTCAGGCAAAGGAACATTGAACTGTTTTTTAAATAGATTCTTGGTTATCTATTAGTTCCCAATGATCCTTGACGAGGTTGGAGAATTTCACTTGCTTTACTTCTTTCTCTAATTTGGTCCATGATCCAACTTGCTATAGTTTGTTGTTTAGAATGTCGAGGTTTTGTAATTTGATTAGTGAACAAAAGGAGATACTTTTATGACTACTAATCTGTCAGTTGATAAACTACATAATCCACAATGGTAGACGAGCTGATTTGTTGACACTATACACTTCTATAATCCAAAAGATTTCTTACCTTAGTGGTAAGCAGGTCCATTAGAAGGCTCCTGTATCATTTAATAATTTACCAATAAGCTCTAATGATCGCAAGAGGAAGAAAACTTTAAACTTAATAAAGTGTAAGTCCTACAAAAGCTTGAGCTGAGTGGTAACAGGAGAGCATCTTGATTACTTGGTTGTAAGAAAATAAGCATGTGAATAGAAGGGCTTTGTCCTATTTGCCATGAATCACATCTAAACTAGAAACAGATTTCACAAACTACAATGTGATCTTTTTTGAAGTTTAGAAGCAGTTGAAAAGTAGAATGTTGCTTGTGTACTTGAAGAGGCGCATCTAGAATCTCAAGTACAATGGAGGAGACTGCATAGAAGCATTTGCCAACAACCACAAATTTGAATTACATGTAATTAAAGATATATATTATGTGGGGCCCTACCCGAGTAGATCGCTTGCTGCTTGTTAGTAGTGATCGAATTCCTTCTATGGTTCCACATGAGAAATCAGTACGAATAGGAATGGAGACCTTTGAATAGAGCAGAGGCGACCAACTAGATAAAAGCAATAAATCTGTAAGGGAACTGGCTTCTGACTGCTGCTTCCTGGTTTTCAATTCCTCTCCGGCGAGGTTTGAACTTCGCGTAGTGACTTCACTCAGCTTGACCTACTTGACTTAGCATATAATATCTATCTATCTCAGAGCAAAGAGTGCTTCCCTCACTCAGTTCACCTCCCTTGTAGGTAAGGACGAAGTCAATTGACATTAATCTCCGTAAGGGAACTGGCTTCTGACTGCTGCTTCCTATTGTTCAATTGCAGCATCAACACCAGCTACATAAAAGAAATAAATCTGTAAGGCTCCTCCCCGAGAAGCACTCTCTGTTATATTCACCCTCCTTCCGAGTGCTTCCCAAAACTGCCTTTTGTATTGGACCTTTGATTATATATATATCCTTCCCTGCGACCTGTGGTCGTGTTCACTAAGTCGCATGCGTTCCTTTTGGACTTGTTTAACCATATACGATTACGTGTTCGTATGATCGTATCACGTGTAATCATGTATGATCTTGGAACTTCTCTCGTTCTCACAAATTGATCAACTTCTTGCACGATCCTCCCTTTGTATATATGTGTGTGTGTGTATATATATATATATACATAGAGAGAGAGAGAGAGAGAGAGAGAGAGGAGAGACCATTTACAAACCCAACTATTAGTACAAACCATACAAACCAATTAATTGAGATATTTATAGAAATGATGAGAGTTTATTTATTGTGATTTGGATATTTATGAAAGATTATCAAAGTTCATTTATTATGATCAACGTTTTATATTAGGAAACAATCGAGATATTCATTGAATCAGATATGCATTAGTAAAATACTTTAGGAGAATATAAAGTTGTATATTGTTGTGTTGTTTCAATTACAATACAGGGAATATATATATATATATATATATATATATATATATACAAAAGAGAGAAAAGAGATAAGGATAAGGACTATTCTAAAGCAACTCCCTGTTGGAGTCTAACTCTCTATTGGAGTCCATCTATAACTTGGCACCTTTCCTTATATGCAAATCTGTCTACACTCCCCCTCAAGCTGGATGGTATTGTAATCAGAGAGAACTCTATTATATGATTAATCAGTAAAAATTCAAATTTACAAGAGGAGAGACACTATATATAGACATAATTACACGGGAAACCCTAACCCTAAAGCCCATCGGGCTTGGACACATTACCATAAACAGGTTACTTAATTAACACTCCCCCTCAAGCTGGAGCATATATTTTGATCATGCCCAGCTTGTTACAAAAAGATGTGATTCGGTTCCCTGGTAATGCTTTGGTGAAGATGTCGGCTAATTGATTGCTAGTTCTGACATGAGAGGTTGAAATAGATCCATCTTCAAGCTTTTCCCGAGTGAAAGGACAATCTATTTCAATATGCTTAGTTCTCTCGTGAAATATAGGATTGCTTGCAATATGGATAGCTGCCTCATTGTCACACCATAAATTCATCGGTTTAGATTGATTAAATCCAATCTCTCCCAATAGATTACGCAGCCATATCAACTCACAAGTAGTTTGAGCCATTGCACGGTATTCAGATTCAGCGCTTGATCTTGATACAACATTCTGCTTCTTGCTTTTCCAAGATACCAGATTCCTTCCCCACAAAGACACAGTAGCCTGTTGTTGATCGTTTGGTTGTAGGGTCTCCATCATAGTCTGCATCAGTAAACCCTTCTATGACATAATGACCATGGTTTTGGTACTTGATGCCATAACCAGGAGCTCCCTTCAGATATTTCAAAATATGGCAGACTGCATCCCAATGTGTAGTTCTTGGAGACGACATAAATTGACTCAATACACTTACCGGAAAGGCAATATCGGGACGCGTGATTGTCAGATAATTCAGTCGTCCCACAATTCTCCTGTACTTCTCTGGGTTCTCAAGAGGATCCCCATCATCAGACTTCAGCTTTACATTCGAAACCATAGGAGCTTCACATGGTTTCGTGTCGATCATGCCACAATCATGTAGTATGTCAAGGCAGTATTTTTGTTGAGATAGGCAAATTCCTTTGTGATTCCGAGATACCTCAATACCCAAGAAATATTTCAGTGGACCAAGATCCTTAGTTTGAAATTGAGATGCGAGGAATTCTTTCAACTTTTTAATTCCATTCTCATCACTGTCCGTAATCACAATATCATCGACATAAACCACTAGCAAGATACATCCAGAATCAGATGAAGTAAAGAACACTGAGTGGTCATATGAGCTTCTTCGTAACCCAAATGTAGTTACCACATAACTGAACCGACCGAACCATGCACGAGGTGATTGCTTTAGGCCGTATAACGACTTCCGTAATTTACAGACCTTCCCAGACTCCCCCTGAGCAACAAACCCGGGGGGTTGCTCCATGTAGACTAACTCTAGCAGATCGCCATGTAAGAAGGCGTTTTTCACATCTAATTGGTGAAGAGGCCAATTATAGGTAGCAGCTAGAGAGATGAAAAGCCAAATAGACGCCATCTTTGCAACAGGAGAAAAAGTCTCAGAATAATCCACTCCATAAGTTTGGGCATACCCTTTTGCAACCAAACGAGCTTTTAACCGTGCTATCGATCCATTAGGATTAACTTTCACAGTAAACACCCACTTACAACCAATTGCTCTTTTGCCAACAGGTAACTCTACCAAATCCCATGTGGTGTTATGATCAAGAGCATTGAGCTCATCAATCATAGCATCCCGCCATCCAGGATGAGTCAAAGCTTCTCCAACC